TCCTATATCAGTATTTTAAAATTTTTTCCAAATTACTTATTTGGACAGTTTTTCTTGGTAAATAATTAAAGAAATTTCATTCTCAAAATGAAATCACTGAGCTATGATCAGCTTGCTCCTTTCCTTATAAATTTGTGCAGGTCCTCTGCCCTGTTGCAATTCTTTTACTACTGGTAATAAATTACCATAATGTGGCCTTAGGCCTGGCACAATAGCCTAGTGGCTAAAGTCCTCACCTTGCATGCTCAGGATCCCCTATGGGTGCCAGTTCATATCCTGGCAACCATGCTTCCAATCGAGTTCCTTGCCTGTGGCCTGTGAAAGGTGAGGAACTAAGCCAACTGGGTCAGAGCAACCACTGGCACACACATAATCCAGGGCTGGGAATAGACTCGGTTGGGGAGCTGTGAGAGTACACCATTACAGGAGGGTGCGGGGGCTGAAGTGGGAGCTGCATTCTGGTCTGGATATGGCTGCAATATCCCTTGGCACAAGCGTGGACTGGGGTTGTATGTACCAAGCTGGACTAGACGCCAGAACCATCTAGAGCTCTGGAGAACCTGGATAGATGTAGGACGGATTACACTGAGTCTCTACCCCTACTGAGTCATGTGTGAGCAGTGTCTGGGTATGGACAAGCCTTGGCTGGGCTGAAACACGAAGAACTGGAATGGATTGAAGGCCAGCAATGAGGGCTGGCCCATGGAACCATCAGTACGTGCAAGATCTGCCATAAGAAGAGGTTCTGAAGGATGAGTTTGGGAAACTCCTTTGTCAGAGCCTAGTCCCTATAACAGAGCTCAAGAACCAGAATAGGGAGCAACCCAGACCTGGCCAAAGGAAGATACCCACCATCATATTTATGGCACAGGTGGGGGCGCAGACCAGGCTGAACATGTTCACATCAACCACTGGTGAATCTGAGCACCAGAATAGAGTGTGGGTTGGGCCGGGTTGGTCACAACACATACCAGTGCACATTAGGGAATGCCAAGGTGAGGTGAACCGTACCAGATGTGGTTGCAGCACCCAAACAGCACACGTGAGAACGAGGGGCGCGAGGTGAGGAGGCAGGGCTGCCAGGGGAATGTGGACTCCCCTGCTGGACAACCACTCCCACTGGAGAGCATGAGTCAGGATGGGGGCAGACCTGACCAGGCAGGGCTACAACACCTGTGGGCCTCATGTGAGCTGGATAAGGGAAGGGCCACGGTGGGCTGATTGTTCCAACTGGTGCAAGCAAAAATTAGAGTGGGTGAGGGTTGGTTGGTCTTTGCCACAGCATCAGCTGTCAGATGCTGGCACTGGGGGCTAATTCTGTCAAGTTAAATGCCAGAACCACCTGCAGAGTGCATAATCTGGGAGTTGGAGTGGCCTAGTAGAGAGATAGTGGGTACATCCTCGAGGGTTACTACTCCACTGGAAAGCATGAAAACAAGGAGAGTGGCAGGGGTGGCTAGACAGAGGGGCACCTGCCAGTATGTGTGTGGGCTGGATAGTAAGTTGGTTGGGTTGAACTAGGCTTCAATGCCCATTGACATGTACGAAAGCTAAATGGAGTGTGGGACAGACTGAGCAAGTCTCTAGTACATACTGGCATGCATGGGAACCAGTGTAGGGGGCAGAACTGGTGGGGGTTATGGGGAGTCGCCCCAGCTAGGCTGTAGCTCCCACTGGTTTGTGTGAGGAACAAGTATGAAGTGGGTAAGATCTAGCTGGACTACAACACCCATTGGTTCACGTGGAAGACAGGGCTAGAAACAGAACTGACCCAGCAATTGCAGCGACCAGTATGTGCATAAGATGATTTGGGCGACAGATTGTGCCGGACCTGTAGTGACAAGCACACAGAAGAATCAGGTCTGGCATCATTTCAGATGAAGTTTTTTTGGAGATCACTCCAATTAAACTGCTGATCTCAGATGTCAGCCAGTGGATTCTGAATAGATTTCATCACAATTGGAATGGTGAGATTGGCAGCAATTCAGAACTGTTGAACTATCAAAACTGCTTAAGCAGGACCCTTGGCGCGTGCCTCACATTGGGGAGCTGGGATGGGAGGGAGGCTGGGTGGGGCTTCTCCCTTTGTTTCTCCCCTGATCCCAGATACAGGGGAAAACATGGTGATATTAGTGTGGAAACAATGAAATTACCCACTTTCCTGTAAAAAAAAATATTAATTATTTTTATTGGAAAGGCAAATACACAGTGAGAAGAAAAACAAGAAAGAACTTCCATCTGCCGGTTCACTCCCCAAGTGGCCACAACATCTGTATATGAGCCAATCTGAACCTAAGAGCCAGAAGCTTCTTCCAGGTCTCCCACTTAGGTGCAGGGTCTCAATTCTTTGGAACAGGCCACAGGCAGGGAGTTAGATGAGAAGTAGAGCTGTCAGGACACAAACCAGTTCTATTTAGGATCCTGGTGCACTCAAGGCAAGGATTTAGCCACTAGGCTATCACACATGGCCTTATACGATTCATTGTTATTAGAACTCTGATAGCAAAGTGTCTTTCCTTAAGCTGGCCTCGAGGCAGTTATTGCAAACCTGGGGCTCCTCCAGAAATTCAGAACCAAGAGGACATACCTCATTTATCCTCAGAGGCCACTGAGCTTCCCTGTTTCATCAGACAATTTCTTGTACAGTAAATATTTCTCTATATTATTAAAAGTAGGAATGAGATGTCTAAAATAGGAAGGAGGAATAATTTTCAATAAAGGTCAATAGTTCAATGAGTTGATTTACAATCATTTTATTAAACAATCATCTTTTACATGCCATCAGACCTTACCCCTGAAGTGCAAAAAAACAGTTTGAGGTATGAAAACTGAAGGAACATTTGCACATGTTTTGTAAGGTTTTCACACTATAATTATCAGAAAAGTTACTATAACCAAATGTTACATAACTACAGGATTAGTTTTTTTTTTTTTAAAAAAAAGCCATATAAAACAAACTAGATTTATCTCATTGTAATTCTGATTCTCTCATTTATGATGAAAGGATGGTCAAAAAAAAAAAACGCGAGACTTCAATTACTTCCAAATGATGTATGTCCATTATTCAGTTCCATAAAATTGAGTAGAGAATTTAAAAGGTCAACTGCTGAAACAGTAGGCATCGCAAAAGCGTAAAATCAGACTGACAGACCAGCTGAAATGATATAACATCCTATTCATAGAACTTAATCCTCAGATCAATGGCAATCCACTTTAGCCTGCTAAAGCTCTACACTATCCAAGTGTATACACGGTCACATCAGCCCATGGTCAGTTAATCATACTAGCAAAAAGTTCAAAATGGCCTCTTCAAACATATTTTGGTGTTTACAAAGAGAAGAGGAGATTGGCTTTTTAAGGGATTTAAACTTATCTGTGTGTGTGTGTGTGTGTGTGTGTGTGTGTGTGTGTGTGTGTGTGTGTGAAAATTACCCCTTAATTTACAGTTCCCATTTCACTTTGTATTTATGTCTTCAAATACAAAATTGTGGCAGTAATACTCTGATTATAATAATATAAATACTCCTGAAATATTGTGACAAATTGGAGCCAAGTATCCTTTAACATGATGGCTAATTTAATTAATGCACAGTATAAACATTTTATTTGAAACAAATCTACAATTACATAATGATCCATATGTCATCTAGTAAAATCTGTGCAGAATAATAAACTCCCCATGCTCAATAGAAATTAGTTACCACAGCGGTTTTTTAATATTCAGCATAATATTTCAAGTAGCTACACATGTTAAGGTTTTGTTTCTGTCACTGAATTATTTGTTTCATTGTGTGGATTCTTGAATAAAGATAGGAAGTGGGGTTTTTATTATTATTATTCTTCATTAGAAAATGGATATATGTAAAACAAAGCTTGTAAACTTTTTTGCAAAGCTGATAAAATATCCAATGTCTCTTGCACTTTACCATCAAAGGAAAATTTTGCATATTCCATGGCAGTTATGAAACCTATGAGACAATCTATTAAAAACAAAGAGGTCTTTTGAGAATTGTGTGGCTTAAATCAAAAATTAAATGAGAAAGGAAAAAATTGGGGGATCTCCAGCAAAGTTCTTACAGTTTCCTCTGTTTTTGGAAAAAAGAGGAACTTAGGTTGTTAAAATCCTTGGCAAGACCACTAAGCTTATGTGGTCGTGACAATGTTGCCTACCTACAATTGTAGTTTGTTTTTCCATGTTGTGTTCTTGAATAAGAACAGTCTTTGCATGGTTGCTTCACTGCTGGAAACACAGCTGTCAGAGCAGCTGAATTGTTTACCTGGGAGGAGAGTTACCATGTGCTCTCACATGAACCAGAAGGAGGAAACTCACCACAGCTATTCTAATCCAAATGAAAAATGATCTAGCACCACTGAATATCCTTTGGGAGTTAACAACTACCTGCTACACCAATGATTGCCCCAGTTTAACATCATTTCCCAAGAGTTTCTTTTAAAAGGCATGTCCACATCGAAAGCAACGAAACTGTCAAGGTCTTATAATGTGGGGTTCAATCTCAGATGCGTAAATTGCAATTATTTGAAATAAAACAAAAAACAATCTTTGTTTTGAGACTGCATATGTAAATCTAATATGCAATATGCAATTGCACTGAACTTTATTGCTTGAAGGGGAAAAATACAATAAGCTCCATTTTTTTTTCTATGTCTACCCTTTGCCTCTATTTGAGATAAAATGTAAATAAAATCAAATATATCTGATCCTGTAAGATCTAGGTCTTGAATATTTTTGTTGTTGCTGTTGTTGTTCTGAGTATACCCATTCATGCCATAAAATAGACCAGGCTGCATATATGAGTAATAATAGCAACAGTGTCAAAAATCTTGCACTGGAATTAGGCTGATGAGCTATACTGTAAAAATTTATCAAACTTCTAAAAATATCAAATTCTGGGTGGAATTCAAATCAGATAGAACACTGACTGTATTCACATACAGTATTATCATTGAAGCCTTCTCTTTAAAACAGGTACTTGCTACTGTTAATCAAAGACTGGATTTCTTATGCCATTTAACACCAAACTGGTGGGTCCCTTTCTGCGTAGGAGGACCAGTGAGCACAGGAGAAGGGAAAAAGTCATGACTCCCAGAATGACTAATCCTGAGATCAGTGCACTGGTGATGGTGTTCAGCTGGAAATGAGGCACACTCAGGGAACCTGCAAATAATGAAACACACACAGTTGTAAAGGTCCATATCACAACAAGCTCATCTTATTACGCTACAATCTATTTCACTGTAATTGAACCTAATATCAGAGAGGATTACTGATATCTCATGGGCAGACCAAAATAAACAAAATCCCCCATACGATAAAATTCTATAAACATTGATTAATCATGTATAAACGCAAAAATCATCACTGAATTGTTATTTAAAACATAAAAAAATATATAAAACTACATCATTGCCCTTAACTGGTTACTGTTTTGTAACTGATCACCAGAAAATTTAAAACAACAATGCTTAAAAATTTTTCATTTCAATGTGCATTAATTATCTTACCAATCTGTGAATTGTTTGTTGGAGTCTCATCTGGATGGTTGGGAGTGGGAAGAGAAAAAAAAAATGACACTGTCATTTCAAATGAACACTGACCTTCAGGTAGTCTGCCTTTTCAATTATGTTGTACCAACATTTTACCTAAATCCCCCTTAATCTCCACCCATTGTTCAATGAGGAAAAATGAAAGCCTTTCTAAGTTTTCTTTTCCCACTCTCTGTGCCACACATCCTGGATTTTATCATCCTCAAAACCACATTCTACCACTGTCACAGATAGACAAAGATAATACAAGTGCACCATCCTATATTGTTTCTTGCCAATATCGTTTCATCATTCTCCCTCTAGTCATGTTAGTGAGGGCAAAAATTGTTAAAAGCTATTACATTTTTATGGCACTGTAACCTGCCATTTGTTATTCTGTTATAGAGAAATATACATTATTTAGTACCACTCCATTTTAAATGTCACCAATTTGACCAACATAATCTGTGAAAACATCAGTTTCAGTTCCAAGAAGACAAATTCACACTTAATAACTAAATAAAAGAAAAACATAAATCCTGTGCTGATGTTGTATTTGCATCTGTTAAGCAGATTGAAACTCAAATGTTCCCTTCTTCCTAGCAAACATAAAGGATATGATGCATACACGTACTTGATCTCCCTGATTTTTTTTGTTATTTTGTTTTGTTTCTGTGCAATACCCATGTCTCTAGGAGCCCTGGACCTTATATAAATAGTGAAGCTCATATTTGTGTGTAATGTGTGGGTGTGTACAGACCATGCAAGTGTTCATATTCTCAATCATAAAATGTGTACAATTGTCTGTTTATTTATGTTGTATAAACGTTATTACAATTAGTGTGTGTGTGATGCCAGATGATTTATTAAATGTACTTTTATATTTCAGTATGTTCAGTCATAACAATAGCCATATGGTTGATATATAAGTGATACCCCCGTTTTACAGATGAACAGATTTCCATCTGTCACAGTCTCTATGACAATGTAAACATGCTTAAATTGAAGTTTGGCTTCAGTGTCATTTTTCTAAAATGCTACGAATTGGTCATATATAAAAACTGCTTTAACTAAGACAATAAATAACTCATGAAATTCAGAATTAGTATTTGAAACAAAGAATAGGAGAATGTGGTATTGTATTTATTAAATATCTGATGCTATTTCTTTTCAGATACATAAACATTGGCAGAAAAAAATGAGCTTTCTGTTGCTTTATTTTAAAAGACACCATGGCCAAAATTAATACAGCACTCTCATAGGATTCTTTAGTGTGTTATAATGCATTATTGTAAGACAAAGAAAGAAAAGAGAGGAAATGGAAACCATAATCTTTGTTAAGTAACACTCTCGGAAGAAATCTGCTTTATAAAATACTTCCTTTTTATGGAAATAGGATGAAGGGACCATGATGACTCATTCAATAGATGTCCATATCCCACAAACTTTCTCTATTCTACAAAGGAGTAGAATATACAAGGCAAACACAAAAAGTCCATGGAAAATGGAATTGAGTTATCTTTGCTTCAACTTAAAATTTTTTAAATCCATGCATACATTTTGTACATATTGCACATTTTCCACAAATATTTTGATGATTTCTTATAAAGTGTTCCAAATATTTCTTTCATAAACTTTGTTCTGAAATAATATTTAATTGCTTTTAAAAATATATTAAAGAATAGAGGAGATGAGATCAAGACGGAAGAATAGGGTGAGGATAATTTAAAAGGTTAGAGAAGTATTCGTCAAGGAAAAGCAGAGAGGGTACAACCTCAGAAAATAGGAGAGGACAAGAGGACAGCAACAGGGCACCTGGAGACCCTTGGACATGGGGAATCAGCAGACACGGCACGGTGATGCCAGAATAAACAGATATCCCAGAGGAGTGCCACCAGTGCTCAGGGGGAAGCAGAGATCACTGGGAACGCAGGAAGTGAATCCAGTGATAGGACGGCAGATCCCATTGCTTTTTCAGTCTGATCATGAGCAGAAGCAGAGTAGCGGAGCCCTATCAGACAGCTGTGGAAACAAGGTGGATTTTACAGTTCAGCGTAATGAAACTGTAATAAAAACAGTCCTCCTGTGCCATATCTGGTGCCATTTTGACTCATTGGCAAGACCCCTGGGGAAAGCAACAGGAGCTGTGCATGATATAACTTGAGAAGAACTCGCTTCCAGCTCAACACATTGCACTTGCCCCATTGTGAAAATATAACTGTCTTGGAATCCCACAAGTCCCATCAAAGAAAGATTCAGGTTATCCCCAGACCTAACTGCCAGCAGATTTTGGGAAGGCGAAGAAAGAAAACAAATTCCATGTGACAGGTGCCACTAACAGCCAGCCCTGTGATTCAGATTAAAGTCATACCATGTGTTTCCCTAATACTGGGTGCTGTTGAAACCAAGAATGCAAGAAGACTGAGCCAGACAATGATGAGGCCACAGCACAAAACCACAGGAGGCAGAGTGGCAATTTGGGAGCCTTGAATGCAGAGGCCATTTCAGAAATGTATCGTTGAAGCCCAAGATTAAAACTTGCTGGAAGGCAGCTATGTTCACCACTATAGCACCGAGAAGTGAAAGTATGTTATACTCCCAAATTGTTTTCATTTTCTGTGTGTAATTACTGTCATTCTTTTTACTTATTAAAAACTGTTTCAATTTTGTTCAAAAAAAATAATAGAATGACATTCAAGATGTACTTAACTTAAACATTGGATTACTTTTCCTTTAAAAAATACTGACTGTTGATTTTGAAAAAAAAAAAAAACTTGCTGGAGGGGGTGGTTTGAGTGACACACATGGAAAACCAGGTAATGAATGGAATCAGTAATGATGACTTGTAGACATGTGTCTACACAACTTAAGAAATGGCCACACAAAGAGAAGAATCCACTAATTTGAGTTGCAATGTCCAAGGGCAAAGAAGAGACACGGACACAATGACTGCAATGAATGAGGTTACTGACGCCTCCTCTAAGAAGCAACACTATTTCAACCTCAGAATTAATTTAGGAGGGCCTGGCACAGTAGCCTAGTGGCTAAAGTTCTTGCCTTGCACGCTTGGGATCCCAGATGGGTGCCAATTCATGTCCTGGCAGCACTGCTTCTCATCCAGCTTTCTGCCTGTGGCCTAGGAAAGTAGTCGAGGACAGCCCAAAGCATTGGGACCCTGTGCCCACATGGGAGACACGGAAGAGGTTCCTGGATCCTTGGCTTCAGATTGCCTCACCTCTAGCCTTTGCAGCCCGACACTTGGGGAGTAAATCAATGGATGGAAGTTCTTCCTCTCTGTCTCTCCTCCTCTCTGTATGTCTGATTTTCTGATAATAAATAAATTTATTTTAAAGAATTAACTTTGGAAGACATCAAGGAAATTCCAGATAAAATTTTTTTTAAATGTTTAAAAATCAAAAACATTTAAAAATAAAAAATAATAATAAAAAATTGAAAACAATTTTAAAGTTGTAATAACGCTCCATAAAAACAAGAAGCACAGGGCCAGGCGCAATGGCGCAAGTGGTTAAGGTCCTCGCCTTGCACGCCCGGGATCCCAAATGGGCACCGGTTCTAATCCCGGCAGCCCCGCTTCCCATCCAGCTCCCTGCCTGTGGCCCGGGAACGCAGTCCAGGACGGCCCAAGGCTTTGGGACCCTGCACCCGTGTGGGAGACCCGGAAGAGGCTCCTGGCTGCGGATCGGCATAGTATCGGCCCGTTGCGCTCACTTGGGGAGTGAATCATCGGATGGAAGATCTTCCTCTCTGTCTCTCCTCTCTGTATATCCGCCTTTCCAATAAAAATAATAGAAAATAAATAAATAAATAAATCTTTAAAAAACAAGAAGCACATACATGAGTGCAAGAAATTTAAGGAATATATTACATAAGAAATACCAACATTGAAACAAAATCAAAATTATTAGAAATGAACAATACAATAGAATGAGTGAAGCAGAAGAAAAGATCTCAGAATTGGAAGACACCTCTTGTGAAAATGCTGAAACAGTCAGCATGAAGAGGAACTAAGTAAAGCCAAGAAAAGCATCCGGGAACTAAAGGGCATTATCAAAAGGCCAAACATAAGAGTGACAGGCATTACTAAAGGTGTAGATAGAGAAACTGGCAGACACTCTGGGCCTGGTTAATGCAAAATTTGCAGCAATTCAGAACTGTTGAACTTTCAAAACCACTTGAGCAATGCCCTCGGAACAAGCCTCACTTTGTGGATGCTAGCATAGGTGGGAGGCTGGGTGGGACTTCTCCCTTTATCTCTTCCCTTCCACCAGATACAGAAAAAAAGAGAGAGAAAATGTAGAAACAACGGTCTTACTCACTTTCCTGTAGCCCTTGACCCTTTGTGCCCTAATCAACTATTTAAAGATTTTCAAAATGAAATGATTATTAAAAACTTAATGAACATAAATCAATGACCTCAGTGTACAGAAGTAATGTCTTGGGTAAGAAATAACTTATAAGTATGACCCCTTTGAAATGGCAGAGAAGATCTCAAATATCTGGAAATAAACCTAACTAAAGATGTAGATGTCCTCTATAAGTGTAAATTATAAAACAGTAAGTAAAAATAGAAGACATTGAAAGATGGAGAAATTTACTATGTCACTTAATTTGGGGAGAATCAATATCATCAAAATGTCTATCTTACCAAAACTAATAAACAGATTCAATGTGATCCAAATCAAAATCCCTACAATATTCTTCTGACAGGTGAAAAAGACAATACAAAAATTCATCTGGAAATACAAATGACCACAAATAGCCAAGTTATCCTAAAGAATACAAATCAAACTGGAGGAATCACAATTCTAGACATCAAGGCATACCACAGGGCAGTAGTCCTCAAAACAGTTAGGTACTGGTATAGAAACAAAGAACATCAATGAAACATAATAGAAACCCCAGAATTGTGCCCACACATGTACAGGCAACTAATCTTTGATAAGAAAACTGAAACTAATCCTCGGGAAAATATTGCTCTGTTCAACAAATACTCTTGAAACAGTTGGGTAGCAACCTGTAGAAGTAAGAAGCATGACCCCATCTCTCACCTTATACAAAAAACAACTCTCTGTGGATCAAGGACCTAAGACTGCACCCAAAAACCACCAACTTATTAGAAAATAATATACAGGAAGCACTCTGGAAGATACAGGCCTTGGTAAGGACTTCCTAAAAAAGTCCCAAAAGCATGGGCAACCAAAACCAAAATAAACAAATGAGATTACATCAAACTAAGAAGCTTCTGTACAGCAGAGGAAATGATTAACAAAGTGGAAAAGCAACCAAAAGAATGACAGAGAATCTTTGCACACTGTACAAATGTTAGTGGCCTAATATCCAGGATTTATGGAAAGCTTCAGAAACTCAAATAACCCTGTGAAGAAATAGGTGAAGGAAATAAGCAGACATTTTGCAAGTGAACAAATTCAAATGGCTAATGGACATGTAAAAAAAAATGGTCAGAATCCTTAACCATTAGAAAAACACAAATTAAAACCACACTGAGGTTCCACTTAAATCCAGTTAGTTAAGATTGACCTAAATTCAGAAATCTAAGAATACCTAAAAACACTTGCTGGTGTGGATGTTAAGAAAAAAACACCCTGCTTCTCCGCTCATGGAATGTAGGCTAGTGCAGCAACTATTATAGTCTGTATGGAGAATGCTAAGACAACTGAAAATTAATCTACCATATGGCCAAGCTATTAAACTCGTGAAAATATATCCAAATAAAGTGAAATCTTGCATATGAAAAAGTGACCACAAACTTTATGCTTATGGCAGCACAGTCTACAATAGCAAAGGCCTGGAAATGATGCAGATGCTCATCAAAACAGGAATGGTTGAAAAAGTGGTGCTGCATCTATTCCATGGAGCTCTACAGATTAAGCAAAAAATGAAATTCTGCCATTTGCAACAACATGGTACCAACTAGGGTGTATTATGCTCAGTGAAATAATCCGATCCCCAAATGACAGATATCATATATTCTCTCTGATATGAGGCAACATTTATGCAAATACATATAACAAATATATAGCTTAACATGCACGTACATATATTCTTATATATGAACTGCATAATGGAGACTAGCATACTGGGAAGGAAGCATCTCTACTCCTGGATAAAAGGAGAACTTCCAATGAAACTGATTAATATACCTTGAAAACATACTAGACTTTCTATCACTGCCTTTACCTTCAATGTCACAAAACACTTGCAAGCTGTGTCACAATACACAGCAAGTTGGCTTACAATTTGCTGAAGGCTGACAATGTTGTAATAATATGGGGGAAAGTGAGGAGGGGATGTAGAAGGAAGGGGAGCTGCAGGAGAGAATCTCTATGCCTACAAAGCCATCCCATGCAGAATACTAAGAAAAATGAAATTAAAAAGCAAAGTACAAATAGAAAGACCATTCCAAACTATCTCCAATAGGATGGAAATGCTTTGACTGGATACCCTTGTCATTTTTGACATTCTGAACTTAATAGCTGTCATATTGTCTGCTATAATTCTCACAGTTTCTTCCACGATTGTTGGGAGTAGTATTCTAGGTATCACCACACTGTCTGGCTATGTTTGTAATCTCCCAGGGTGGGGAAATATTAACCTATTGGGAGTTTACAAAACAAAACAAAATAAAACAAAAACTTTCCACCTTCAGCAGAAGACAGTTTTAATAACTTTTAGAATTGAATTTGTTAGTAAATAAAGGCAAGATAATTGTTTTTGAGTGGTTGATATTCCCAGTATTCTTCAATATTTTTATTACTGTAATAAAAATAAAACATAACAACCAAAGCAATGTCTGGCTCAAAAAGGTGAAGTATACATTTTCAAGAAACTTCTGTCTCCACACACCTCTATTTCTTCCTCAAATCTATTGGATTTTGACATATCCATGCATGCTAAATGAGTAAAGGAAAACTTCTGGAGTTAGAAACACAGATTGGAACACCAAACTTTATGGGCTCGGGAAAAACTGTGCAATTATCTGAAGACACACAGTAGAAAAAATATAATAGCAGCCATTGAAAAGTCAGAAATAGCTGATAGATTGTCATTCATTCATTTTCTCTCATATAAATGGTTGAAATAAATGGGAAAAAGTGAACAACCATGGAAACACATGAAGAATATTGAAAAGTTCATAGAAATTCATATTATGGGAAAATATGTGTTCATTTCAAAACTTTATAAAATAAACGTATCTATTAATTCTATTATTGCATTACATTTTTTAGTCCCCTCATTTTATATGGAATAATTATGTTACCTTCCTTAGCACTAGGAAACCAGTTTGTAAAATATCTCTTGTCATCTATGTAGCAAAATGCGCTGTATGGTCAAGTTAAATGCCTTCAGATCTTTTTAATTATCCACTGACCCAGGGCTCTTCACAGTCTGAGCTCTCCAACTCCTAAGAGTGGAATCCATGACATGGTCTGTTTTCTACTCTCCTTTCTCAGCAGAGTACCAAACCCAGGTAGGGACTACGTAAATATGATCAAATGAATTACTAACTACCTAAAAAGATGAACAGTTACAGTTAAAACAAGAATTTGGTTTGAGCTTCTTCATAATAATTTACATACACAGGACTTTGTTTTCTGGTAAGCATATCTTAAAATTTCCAGATGTCCTATGATAGAAAAATGCTGACTAGCAAAAAGATTCACATTGTGAGGCAAAAATAACCAAGCTGGAGTCAACTCCATTAGAAAATAAAACATAACAGGAGCTATGAATTTAATAGTTTATTAAACTAGTGCTAAGCCAGATGTCTAAGGAAAAGGAGTGGTTTGATGAGTAAATAGAGCAAAATTCCCAAGTATCTCAGAACACTGAAAAGAGCAAATCAAGCTTGAAATTGGACTTGTCTACATAAAATCAGAGAACTCGAAGAGATAAATTCTATCTGACCTATGGTAAAACTAAAATAATACTAAGAAAAGAGGGTAGGTTATGGTCATTAAGCTGAACATAAAATTTTCATTGGATTTGCCTGTGGGTGGACATGGCTTGAGTTCTATGTCCATACGGAATTGAATTTATTTTTGCACAGAGAGTATATTATTGTTATATAGGGTCCTCTGGGTAGTAAGGTCACCATAATCACAAAAACAAAAAGATCATCTTATAGTTATTTATCAAAATGATGAAAGAAAAACCCAGAGGGAGAACTCAAGGGACTTGAACCCCATGTATGCCAATGGTTGCTGCTGCCATGACCAGCTTTGCCTGACCCCAGGCCTGGCTTTTGTGATTACCAGCAAGAGCCGCAGCCCAGCAGGGGAATACCAACAGTTTCCCTATTGGGCACAATCCAAGCCCTGGATCTTGCACCTGCCAGGGTGTGCTCTGCCCTGACTTACTCCAATCTTGGTACTTGCCAACAGGTACTGTGTCCTCACCTGGCTGGCTCACATGTATTTTGGCTCTCTCCCTTGCCAATGGGTGTGGCAGCTTAGCCCAACCTGGCCTTCCCCAGCTCATCCCAATTGCTAGCTGATGGGTGCTGCACCCCTGCCTAGACCAGACTGTCCCCAGTCTCAGCCCTCACACTCACCAATAGAAGCTGTAACCCAACACGGGAGTCCCCAAGATTCTCTGACCAGGACAACTCCTGTGCTGGATCTTGCACATGCCAACAAGTACTGTGGCCCAGTCTGAGATGCCCTCCTTCCAGTCTCAGTATTCAATACTAGGTGTTGCAGTCTGATTAAGTTCCCATTCCCAGCCTTCATTTTTAGGTGCAGCAGCATAGCCCAGCCTGGCCCATTCCCATAGGATTTTGCCGGAGGAGACCTGAGGTGACTCAGAGACAGCCCTAATATGTTGTGGATGGAGCAAGTGACATCTCTCAAGAAGAGAGGTTAAAAACTTGGAAGAAACTTAATCCAGATATTACATCAGAGATTTTGTTCTAGCTCTTGGAAGTTTTGGCAAAATATTTAACCAGCTTGGCAGCAGTACTACAATTAGATTTTCTATTTGGTAAATATTTCCAGGATTTAGAAATATTGGGTTTTTCATGATATTTTTAAAATCGTCTTCCACTGATAAATAATTTTAAAATATGCATCAGAATTTAGTTTTAAGGAAGTAAACTAAAATAAGAATGAAGCAAGGAGGTTCTCAAGGAGCAAATTCATCTACATAAGATTAGAAGTGATGTCACTTTCAAGGATTTTTCTAATATGGCAAAATAACCCCAAATAGTATGCATAGGAAAAAAGATTTTATTGTTTATACCCACAAATATTCTTATTTATTGGTAACAAAAACTGTGTTTCCATTTAATGTAATTTGAGGTTTTTTTTTTTTTACAGTTAAATAGAGATAAGATTTGGCCTTTCCCAGAGCAGTAATTTTTAAAGAATTCAAATATGAATCAAATACTCAGGTGGTACAGACTAAGGTTGAAATTTCCTACTTCACACATGCCTGAATTATTTATTGAGGCTCATTAATTTTTTTCAAATAATAATCACCAAGAAGTGAACAATTAAAGCACTTCCTGGCCCAACCGCTATTTACTTGTTAACCTATATCAGACAAAACTTTTTATTATGGGACAGGCAGTGTGGGGGGCAAAGTAAAGAAACCCTAAGTGAAACATGATAGCAGTTTTATGGCTAAAATGAAATAAACACTATTAATATATATGAGGCAAAATGGAGTTATTTTTCCTTTTACTGTAAATTAAAGAAAATATCAAAGCATGCTTTTTAAAATCCTGTCTAGAAAACTGTAAAAATTTCAAGTGAGTTGAGAACAAGCCGAGCCTAGAACTGGTTTTTCCAACTTCAGATTCACTGTTGTCTACCCTGTATAGCTGCTTTCTTTCACCAACTCTGTATGCCCTGCTTCACACGGTCTTAAATCTGTATTTCTTTGTGCGGTCTGTGCGGATGTGTACCCACACGTAACGTGCACATGGCTGTGTTCATGAGAGCATATGCTAATACAGAGTTGTATCCGTTAGTGCATCTGTATTCAGGAGTGTTAACAGTGCGATGGGTAGGGGCATGCGCTATGCAGGATCCTGAAAGGAAACAAAGAGCACTCAAATTGGAAAATTTAAGCAGCATTCAATAAGACTGTAAAGAGTGGTGGGGAATGTTTCTAAAGAAAGTCAAGTTAGCTGAACTATGGGCGTAAATTTCCAACAACCAGAGAAAGGAGTTTCGTGGCTTGGGCTGTCTGGTCACAAACATGCAGATGTCACATCTGCAGTGCTCCCTTCTCTGCCAACACCACTGAACAGTCAAGTCCAACCAGAATTTAGATGGCAAGTGAAGCAGTGAATGTGGTCCCTGCAGGTCTATCCTAAACTGCAAGGGATTGGATGGGTGGGTTGTCGGGTTGGGTGGTGGGGTTGGGTTTTTTATGGAATGAGCTATGGTGATAAGGGGTGGGGGGGGGGGGGGGGGAAGGGGGGGGGTTTGTGTTAGGGTGGTTGTTTTTTAGGGGAAGGGGTTGATTTTAGGGTTGTTTGTGGTTTAGGGGGGTTTGGTTTGAGGAGTGGTGAGGGGGTGTAATTGAGAAAATGGGTTGGTGAGGAGGGAGTGTTTTAATAGGGGGGAGCGGGGGTGTTGATTGGTGTGGTAGTGTCGGGGGGGGTTGAATGAGGGATAGTGTCTATGGTTTGTTGGTACTCGGGGTTATAGAGTTTAATAGAGTGGTTTGTGGGGGAATGATGTGTGGGTATGAGGGGAAGGTTGGGAGATGGGGGAGGGTGTTGGAGGAAGATTAAATGAGGAGAGAAGAGGGAGGGGGATATTTGAGTGGGGGGATGGTTATATTTTTTAGTAATGTAATGATATTCTGGGAGGATGGTAGGAATGGTGGGTTTATGTGTTTGGGGGGTTGGGTGTAATATTGGGGTTGGTTGTATAGGGATGAGGGGGGATGGGTGTGTTGGTAGTATTATAGTTTAGGAGTATGGTTGAGGTGAATGGAAATGGAATATTGTAGGTGTTGAAGAAATAGTGTTGGGGGGGAAGATGGTTGATAATAAAGATGATGATATAAGTTTTGTATGGGGGGGGGGGAATTAGGGAGTTAGGGTGTTGGAGAGAGTGTAGGGTTGTTTGAAGTAAGGATTATGGGGTCAGCCCAGATCTAAAGTAATGGGGACCCCTAGCTAGGCTGAATCCAAGAGCTCACTGACTGTGAACAAAAGCTTTTCGGGTGTGCATCAATTGAGCATAAATGTAAGCACACAAGAGGACTTAAAAAGTTCATGGACATGGAATTGAAGTTAAGCATTTCAGTGCAAAAAAAAAATTGAAATCCCATTTTATTCATTAATCTGAACATTTTTCAAGTAAGTAACCTGATCGTAGTGGTCTGGTCAGATTTTAATTTTTCTATTCATTATTAAATATGTATTTATTAACTTAAATATATATTTTAATGGACCTATATTTTAATGATGGCTATATATGTACTTCACAGTAGTATTCTGTGTTGCTTACATTCATACACTTGATTAGACCTCTTTTAGCTTTATCCATTTTCACAGTCACAGCTAAGATTCATCCCCTCTCTCAAAGTTCCAAACCTTTGTTCCATTCTTCTCGTAATGGTGACAGGTACCTCTTACTGCAGCCAATACAGGCCTGCCTTTGAACAATACAACTTTTTGTTTTGTTTCTTCTATGATTAATTCATACTCCTAAAGAGAAGCTAATTTAATTCAGAATTTACAAATATATCAACTCTGTATCCTCAATGTACTGCTTCTTACAAATGAAGTATCAGTAGGTATTTGCTGCACGAATGAGTAAATTCAGCTGGAAATTATCAGGCCCAATCCATAGCCACTTTCTGCATAGAAATTAGTTCCTGACATTTGACAACCTTCCAATTTAGATCAGTTCAACAGTATGGAATAAGAGTGCTTGAGAACGTACTGGCATAAGCAACGGACAATCATCAGCTCTGCAGAGCTTGGTCACGCAGTGCAGGAAGACAGTAGACATCTTCTGATTCTTGTGCTTCACAAATCGGAACACTTCAAAGGAAAATCGGCCCCGCTGGCTTCGGCCATTTTCAATGACAGTAGTCTGAGGATCTTTGTCACAGCTATATTTTAGGAAATGTGAAAATACGACTTTACTGGAAAAAAGCAGTCTACTAGGACTAAGAAAATTAATTTATACAGTATTAAGGGTATTGCCATTCCATTAAAAGCTATTAGAACTACACTGTGTTTTATATATATATATATAAAAAACATATAACGTATATTATAATATATGATGTATTACATTACACATTACAATATCATATATTATTATATATATTTATATATATTATATATTATAATATATTCTATTAATATATTATATGTGTTGTATATAATATATTAATATATTGCTATATCATATATTGCTATATTATATATGAAATATACTGTGTTTTATATCTATAATATATATATATAAAAGAAAAATATCCATTAATTCGCAAGATATGACAAGACTAACCTGGACCATAAAATTTGTATAGAACAAATCTGACTATAATAATATGGTCACCTTTATGGAAGCCAGTACTTTCATATGCTTAACAATCCAAACAATGCAAAATTACAGGCATTTGAGGAGTCAACCAGTAGCTATGCGCTCTCTCTTTGTCACCACTGCATACTATATCAACTTATTTATTTTATGATACAGTTCCATAGGCTTGGAATTTCACCTCTCCCCTCCCTAATTCCTCTCCTCACACTGATTTCGCCTATATTACAATAGCATAATCCTTCAAACACAGTCACTGGTCCAACATTCTGCTGTTTAAGTGTATCCGTACATTGTAGACATAGAGGACTGCATAAAGTTCAGCATCCAATTATCAAGATATATTTAAAAGTTTCACTGGGAGTTCATCTTTGATTTGGAAGTGGAGATGCATACTGCATTGGATCTTTACATCTCAATATGTTAGTCTCTATTACACAGTTCCTCTAAATGAGTCTGTGTACATGCATGTTTACCTATGCAATTATTGATCTTATATTTTTCTTGAAGGCTGCTTATATCAGACAGAACATATGATATTTGCCCTTTTGGAATTGGCTTATTTCAGTGAGCAAACAATCTTTTTAAAATGCTAGATGGTATTTTGTTTCCTAATATTACAAATTGCCATATTTAATACACAGTTTATTGATGATGTCAGTTAACTCTTCTGTGCCCTCAATCGTTGGCCACTAGAATTAAGTTCCTTCAGAGGCAGGTTCAAGTCAAAAAGTTTTAGTGTGATTTTTAGCTATGTCTTTTTATACATACCCTGTCTTATTTTGTGAAAACTTCAAATTCACCTAAGATGCCTTCTTACTATGCAGATTTTTTTCTTTCATTTATAAAAGTTTCCTGGATTATATTTTAAATATTTGTTCTATAATTTTGGCTTCTTGGGACACAATTCTAAATATGGAAGCTATATACATAATGAATTCACCTTAACTGCCTTTTATTGCTGTCTTCCCTACTCTAATCCATTTTATCTTTTCCTTTATATTTGTTTCTTTTCATTTGCATTTTAAAATGTTTATCCCTGAAGTCCCCTGTTGTGCTTTCTGCTGTGTCAGTACTCCCTTGAATGCTTTCTAATTGTGGCTTCCTTTCTGTAATATAATTATTTTCCCTATTTCCATCTTAAGTTCATCTAGTTGCATTTGCATATCACATAGCCTTATCTTTTATTGTCCTATACAAACTTACCTAAATTCTTATGGTTCCATTTCCATAACTATTGTTTTTAAATAAACTTCTTAGATCAGAATACTTTTAAATTTACTGAAAAAAGTACAAAGTAGTACAGAGAGTCCCTATTCACTCCATATACAACTTTGCATGTTATTCACATCTTATATTAATACATTTGTCACAATTGTTATTTTAGCATTAAAATTAACATCAACATATTTAATTACAGTTCTTATCTGTTCTGTGGAAATATTTTTCAGGTGATTTTTATTCAGCTTTAGTTTTCTTTCATTTCCTGCCATTTTGACATTTTTTATGGTGTGTTGGAAAACTGCAAGAAATGCATTAATTCATTTGTCTTTCAGACTTGGAAGAGAGTCTCCTGGACTGATTTTCAGAGGACTTGTAAGGCAATGTGGAATGTAAGAATCATCAGCCCGAGGACTCCCTACTCTGTTTAACCACAAGCAAAATGTGGCCATGATGCTATATAATAACTGTCTATACTGACTTTTATTTACCTGTCTGAACTGAATCCCTACGAATTATAATTAATTCTCAGGTCTACAGGTCCATTAACCAGTCTCGCCACCATGCTTGGACTCCTGGCTTCCCAGGGTTTTCTTCACCTTTAGAAGGACTGGATGTATGGGTTTTCTCCCCTTTCATGCTCCGTGATCTCCTGCCCTGCTGGTTCTTCCATTTCAGGCCCACTCTTAGCAACTGTCCTCTAGGGAAGTACCTTCTCCTTCTAGGAATGTATTTCTGCTAGTCGTTCTTGGATTCCAGCACATACAGACCCCACAGCATTCACTTTTCCTCCAGGCTTATCCCCACTCTCTCCTCTCACATTACTTCACTTATCCAGTTACCTATGGATTATTGTATACTTTGCTCCCATGTTTTATGACTCTTATCTATTACAGATAGACTAGAAAACTGCAGGTATTTTAAACTATACTTCCATACTTATAAGAACAAAATAAAAATACATAATTTTTAAAGAATTACATCCATACTGATTTTTTTCTCCAAAAATGTTACACAAATTAATACTATGAGCAATATAATATGTAAGGGAGTCAGTTTGGCCAAGACCTTTGAGCATCATCTTATCCTGAATAGCCAATAAAACATATTCCTTTTGCTTCCCATTATATCTCTCCAGTGGTGTGCCAAGAAGCTACAGTGATCTGAGCCAAATGCATTTTATAAGCATGATTAGAAGACATTGCTTGACTCTCAAGTCTGTTCTGCTGTCAGATATTAAAAAATGCTGAAAGGGAACTAGAATGATTGAATGCTTTTATGATCAATGTCCCCTTTTCCTAAATGTAGATTACATTCACTCTATCACTGTCCATTGGGGAATGAAATTAAAGTTATTGGCTCTGATAAAAAAAAAAGGAGTGGCAGGCTATATTATACTTTCTTATTAAATACTGATAAATGAACAAAAGCATTTTGGGGGTCTAAATTATCCAGTTCATTACTTTAATTTGACTCTCTTTTTGACATATGATGAGATGGCCCAGCCACAGATAAATAATTCCTTCCTATTCCCTTTCTCTTATTTCGAATAATATTTTAATCATGCTTTCTCAATGACAGTGAAATACTCCCATATTTCCCAAAGATGAATAAAACATTTTCGTGAGACCTAACTTACTTAAAATTCTCATTCAACAATAGCATTATCAGCATTTTGTGCTGCAAATTTATCTAAAATTTTATACTTCCAGCTTTAAATGGGCTAAAAGTTCAATATGTAAACCTGTAAGTTCAAAATCGATAGCCATGTACTATAATCTGTTTTTCTTACTTTGATTTTCCATTTCAGTTATCTACACCTTTGTCTTTGGTATCAACACAAGATGTAGACACTTACCTCAGGAAGAGGTCGTAGCGAATGTCATCATTTGGGTTTCCCGATGGGGTTGTGTAGCAATAATCCATCAGGACATTCCATCTGCAGAGGGAGACGAGCATAATCTAGGATCAGGAGCTCCCTTTGGGAGTTGCTTATTAATGCACAGGCAGTAACTATGGACAAAATTTAACCCACAGATTTTATTTTCCGTGAATCACACAGACTGTCTATTTATTAAAATCTTGTACTCAACTTGAGACATTAAAAATCTGCAAAAAAGTCGAATTCCCATGTTGAGTGAGAATAAGGCTGATGCCACACACAAGCACATACAGAAATGTGCACAAGAAAACTGAATGATCACAATCTGAAGAACAAAACCTGGAAGCGGGCTACATACATACATGTATGAGTTTACATATTAATTAATATGTAATATTAATATACACATCAAATACAGCAAAACATTTACTTGATAAATTATATACCAGAAACAGCGGGGACAGTAGTATGAGCACACAAGAAACACTTTGTTTAGGTAGGAGAAACCCATGAGACAAATTCCCAGCCGTTTCCAAGGCTTCACAATGGCTAGATCTATATGTTACTTTGTTCCAACTCTTGGAATTATTAAAAATGAGAAATGTGGCAATAAAGTGAAAAACACATTAACATAATTTTAGAATCATATATGAGAATAAAAGTGCCAAGAATACCAAACAATCTGATCAGGATGCAAATTTAGATAATATTGCACCAGAAACTGGTGCATAGAATTTAAGCTGTTTATACACAACACTTTTTCATGGGACACAGTAGTTGCCTCAACATTTTAAATTCTCTCTGGTTCTGATCACTCTGAATGTTCTAAGTGTCGTAAGAAGTTTGCTGAATTTTTTAAATTTTTGCACAGATATTCCAGAAGATTGTGCTGAGAAATTTTGGCATAGAACTTTTGGGGGGAAGAGTTCTATTTTTGAATAAATTAGTATTGGATACCAACATACATTCAGAATAGTGTACACATCAAATATTTTCACAAATGACTGAATTAGATTATTATCTTTGCAATCAAGAAATGATATTAACTGGTCCAGAAGACCTTGACAAGCCCTTTTCCAGTCACTAACCCTCCTGCCCACACTATCTTTATCGAAAGATTTTTAAATTAATGACACAGTGTGATAGCCATTATTTTCATTTACAATTTGTTGCTTCTTTTTAATGGTATTTCTGTATAGTGTAGCAATATCAGTATTTTCCAAAAGGATTTAAATATGATTAAGTTAACATTGCTACTCATGAAGGTTTAGACACTCTTCACTAACAAAGAAAAAGAATTTATAAGTACCTGCCATCCAGGTTAGTGGCCTGTACAGCTGCAAACACTTTGGTTTTCAAAGGTAAGCCTATGCTGGGAATAATCAGCTGCTCTCTGTAGGTTGAATCCTAAGCATGAAACAACACAACACAACATCATGTCAGTATTGCCCAACAACAGTGCATTTTCATTTGACACAACCAATTAAAGGAAAAAGAAAAGTATGTCAGCATAAATCTACACTGCCAACACCAAAAAGATTTATTTAGTCCTCTGATTTCTTGCTGAATGGTTCTGAACAATTTTATCTCCATGTATAAATCATTGCGTCCCACATTTCAACTGTGTCATTTCTACTCAACGACTCAGTTCACACAATGCTCAATGGCCAATAGATATCTTTCTTTGATTAACATTCCACTTACTGAAAAATTACAATAGTGCTAACATTACATGCCGTTTATTTATATTACATTTGCCTCAACTTAAAATTTTACTGTTGAAACTTTAGGTCTTTTATATTGTTTGGTAATGTTTCACTTAACACAAATATCTGCAATAAAACTTAACAACTACCAAAATTGTATTAAGGGCCAATAAAGAGACTAATACATTTTCTCAGTTGCCTAAAATGTGTGACATACAACTTCTGCACCAAATTCCTTGGTGTTTTTTAATAGAAGATCATCTCAGGACTTCATTCTAATGCTTTTATTACCCTTTTTTAGACCATCTCTAGAATTTATTTACATCATTCCCCAATCTACAGATTACTGTAATCTGCTTTTAATTTGTTTTAATTTATTTGAAAGACAGATCCAATCATGTGCTTTCTGTTGAAACACTTCCCAAGTGCCCGCGATAATTGGGTCTGGGTCAGGTTAAGCTAAAGCAGCAGTGAGTTTGGGTGCCCTATGAGAGGGGTAGGGACTCTCACATTTGAGCTATTATCTGCCACCTCCCAGGCTACACATTAAGCACAACCTGGAATCAGAAGCAAAACAGAGATTAAAACATCAGCACGAAGGTATAGGATGTGGGTTCTTAATCTTTGTGCCCCACACTAGTCCATTATAGTTGATTAATACAGCAGATTAGAAATTAATAAGTATTGGGTTGGCGCAATAAACTAGTGGCTAAATCCTTACCTTGCATCCCCCAGGATCCCATATTGGTGCCAGTACATATCCTGGCTACTCCACTTTCCATCCAGCTCCCTGCTTGTAGCCTAGGACAGCAGTAGAGGATGCCCAAGACCCTGGGACCCTGCATTCATGTGGGAAACCTGGAAAAGGTTCCTGGCTGCTGGCTTCAGATCAACTCAGTTCTGGCCATTGTGGCCACTTGGGGAGTGAACTGGAAAGACGGATCTTTCTCTCTGTATTTCCTTTCTGTATCTGCCTTTCCAATAAAATATTAATACAATAAATCCTTTTAAAAAAGAAAGTGATGACTACAATTCAGTAGTGGAGAAATAGATGGGAAAAGTTACAGAATACCTTTAAACAATTCAAAGTTTAATCAAGTAATTTGACTTTGAGACAATTATTTCCTCAAATTCTAATGATACTGAAGATTCTAGTGTAACTGAAGATTTTTGTTTTGAAACAAAAGTTTTTATTTTCATTAAAAAAATCCCAAAGTCATAAAAAAGTGAGAACATGGAATATATGTTTACAAATCTTGGAAGAAAATATTACACTTTATAATAAAACAGTGATATATTTATGCTTTTTAAAAATTGAATTCATGTGGAACATTGCATTTCCAAATACATTAGAGATTATATGTAATATTTGGACATTGGTAACCTTATTTTATTTTGTATATTCCTGATAAATAATATCAAATCAAACCTGATAAATAATATTTTATCGAATTATCTTTGTGCTCCCTTCTTCAACTTCTCCAAGGAAGCCATACCTCATTAATTACAGCTCTTTCACTTCATGATTGCATCAATACTCATGTCATCAGAAGAATGCTCATTTTCTTCACAAATGGTTTACTTATGAGTCATTTGCAGATGATATTTGATCAGGCTTTGATTTAATTATAAATCTACAATTTCTTCCTCCTGAAATTGTTTCTCAAACATGCTTCTGTGATAGTTTGTGTAGTCACTCAAGAGATAACTTCACTTACTTTCCTTTATTACTATTTCTATTGTATTGTCCTTAAAATCAATTCCATTAATTTTAGTTTTACCCCAACTGTTAAAGTGTACTCATGATTACCACAACTCTATTTTAGATTTTCTTTTCTGATCTAACTCAGAACACACATCCAGGTACAGTTCAAAAACACAAAGGTAGTCTCACTTTTTTATCAAAGAGGAGAAAATTAGCATACATATTATGCAAAAATAAGGCACAGTTGAGCTCAAAGTAAACTGCATTGATGGGAATATGAAATTCTGCCTAGAAAATGCACTTCAATGGCCATCAAATGACATCTGGTTTACAAATGTTATAATATTCCTTCTCAGGAACTAAATATTTTAAGCAAGTAGCAAATATAATGTGAGATAAATTAGTTAACATATATGACTTTTTCTATGAAAATTGCAACATTTTTAAATATCTATGACATGACACACTATTATGATGGCATCATGTTTAAAAACAACTCAGGGGATGTGACATTCCTTCTGTATGAGAAAGTAGTGACAGGTACGTGTCATTTGATATGATAGTCAAGACCAAAGAATATACAACAGGAACAAATAACTAAATGCAAATCATATCGTGTAGTTAACAATAATGTATGAATATTGGTGCATTAATTCTAATAAATATGTAATATGAAATGTGAATAATACTCAAGAAAATTGTGTGCAAGAGTAAGTGGGTTTGTACTCAGGCTCTGTACTTATCATTTTTTTTTGTAAAATTGTATTTATTCTAAAAAACACCCAGAACTGCTAACAAAAAAAATAATAACAATTTGGTGAAAGTCTTTGGGCTTTAGTAAGTAACTATAACTTTTAAAATTTGGTTTGTTTTTAAGCAATCACTAATAATACTTCCATTACAAACAAAAATTAAATGCATTTTGGTGCCACCTACTTTAATTATAGCCTGATATAAATTAGAATTCAAATACTTAGGTTATTATCAAATCATATGATTTTAATTAGCATTAAGATTCTGCAACAAAAGAACTTGATTTAATTTGAACTGTAATACTGCAACTAGGTGAAGGAATCCACCAAGGGGGAGGGCACCAGGAGGGAATGGGGGAATCACAGAGCCTATGAATCTGTGTCACGTAATGCAACGTAATTAATAATAATAATAAAAAGATTCTGTTAGCAATAGGACTACAGTATCATATGTAATGATAAAGAGGTTTATAGAAAATCTGTCTTTAAATTCATGTTTTTCAATTTGATTTTCTGCTTTTACACTGGGGGAATGATTTAATTTCCAAGAAAATAATGGTATCATGAAATTCCATGTGGATATATGTTTTACCTTCTTAACACTGGGAATGTTCATCTTTGTCTGATTCAATTATAATATTAAACCCAAATTAGTCACATGAATTCTACCTCAAATAACTTACATGTATAAACTAACAGGGAGAAATTTCTCAACTCAAAATATTCATAAAACTATCGTTTCCAGCAATAATACACACCTGGAAACACCAGGATATTGTGGAAGCGAGTAACATGGCAATATCTCTTTGAGAAAGGAAGTTAGTAACTGACAGAAAGGCAACCTTCATTCCAGTACATTTTCATTTGTTGTTTAGAACGCTGTGGTGTCAGACTACAAACTTACAAGCATTATTTTTTAAATGCCTTCAGAAAATGTCCTACTACAATATTTATAGCTCATTATATTCAAAGTACAAAGCGCTGACTTTTAAATCAGTTGCATGAATTATAACTCAGTGCCATGATGACATGAATAATAATGCAAAAATCAGATTCATAATTTACAAAAATGTTGCTTGATAGATTGAAAAATTGATATTTAAATCAGGCATTTAAATGTATGAATAAAAATTTTTAATCAACATGAAAATATCATTTGGTGGATTAATGTTAAGTTTATAAATAGAAATCCATGTATTTTTCACATTTTGCTGCCATTGTCGCTATTTACATGACAAAACTTTAGACAATGCCATGTAATAGATCCAAGTTATTTGAGAAGTAATAGAATTGTCACCAGAGTTCAAAATCAAAATATTAACATTTTCATTGCCAACAATGAATTTAGGAGAAATATCATTTGGGCATTTTCTATCTTTACCACAAAAATATCTCTTTCCAAATCACCTTTGATATGACTTACACCTGCAGGCACAAATGAATCTATATATGACAATACAGGTATATACTTGGAGTAAGAATAGCAGGAATACATTTATTATGGGAAATTTAAATCAATCCTCACATGTTACAAAATTTAAGAGACTTTTGGATACTTTCATTAGTAGAGCACATGAAAATGGCAGTAAAGGTGGACAAATGTTACCAAAAGTACAGCGGGGTGAACGTGGCTTTAGCAGATTTTTATATAACAGTCATCTGTAAATGGCTCTTCACAATGATGAAAGGGAAAACAACATCCTTCATCCATCAGCTTACATTATAAAGGAGCAGGTTCAAAGTGCTGACAAATGTTCCATTGTTCTCTCTTACAGAAATAGCAGCTGAGGACCTGAAACAGAATTAGAAGAAGGAAAGAGATGATTAGAATTTAAGCTACAGTTAAAACTGAATGTTAGCATTTAGACAAAAAAAAAAAAAATGTAAGTAAGCCTGACAGAACTTTTAAAAGGACCTTGAATGCGCATACTATTTAAATCACTGAAAAATAAAAATCAAAATGCAAGAAAGATCCAATAAAAATAAACTGTTCATTTTAATCTTACTTATAAAGTCATCTTTTTTTTCATTTTGTGTTACAGGAGACTTTTCATAGAAAACCCTTATTTTAAAGAAAGAATCTCAAGTCTGATAAAAAATATGTTTTAATCAGTTCCGCTAGATGTTTTGTGAGATCAAGGAGTTTGTTTTTGCTGCTATTACATGGCATGACAAATAGTACATGTGTATTACCTGTGGATGGAATAAATGATCTCCCACAGAAATTGTAGCCTAGGAATGTGTTAAGGTGGGGTAGCAGGGAGCAGAGAGAGACGGCTCTACACTCGTATTCTTCTGACACAGCCTTTTCTCTGCTTTGAAGCCTTGCTCTTGTCCAAGTTCTTTGTCATCACTGAGCTATTAACACTAATGATGGCTATTTTTTCACCAAAGCCTCTATTTTTTTATCACTAAGATGAAGCCAAGACTTGAAATTCATAACAGCAAATTATAAAATGAGAAACAAAATTTCCACCCTATAATCATCACTTACATTTGTCAAAAAATATCTGACACATCCAGGTGACTATATTGCAACATAAGAAAAACTGTGTTAGAGGATGTGCTTTCAGATAAATACGTAAAAGCGAGTCTTGGCCCATGTCTGGATCTCCTTGGTTGCGGGTCAGAGCATCTTCCCAGTGCTGATGCTGGGCAATCATGAGCACCCTCAGAAGTCATGGAGAAATACCCATCTCAGACAGCAAAATCTAACAATGAAACCATACCACGCAACGCTGCGGTAAAGGAGGACCCAGTGAAGGAGTGGTCAGGTGCCTCACACCTGAAAACACCGTGGAAGCCTCAGGAACACATAATCAATCAGGAATCTCAGGTAAAAGGAATAAGGAATACTCAAGGAATATATCTGGATAGTTTAAGCCAGGCTTTATGTGACTGTTGACTTAGGTCCTATGATTAGATACCAACTGATAATGAAGATGATAGCCAGAAAGAGAACTATATAGGAATAAACAACTCATGCTGGGAACACTACATGACATCAGTTTGGCCAAATCATAAAATTTATATAAGTTTATTAATACAAGTAACAACTCAAGCATCAAGACGATGTGAGAAACTAAGAATAGAGTGTAAACTTACGAGGCAAGTTGGGTATTATTAACCAAATATTCCAGTGGATAGCTGCAACTAAATTTGTAAAGAAGCCCAGGTAGATAGCTGATGATTGTTGGTGGATCTGGAGTATCAATATATCCCGAAATATTTCCTATTTGTACTGAAGATGTGTTTCCATAAGCACTGACTCCAGGAATTGTGGATACCTGTTAGAATGGTAAACCAAGTTCATTAATTAAATCTCTCTCTCTCTCCCCTTTCTTGCCCCACATATATTTGTGTTTGTATATGTAATTATATATATATATTTGTATATATATATATGTATGTGTATAACACATGCAAAATAAAGCACTAAAACAGATCATTTCTAGAGTCCAATTCAGCTCCAAAATGCCATGATTTTGACATTATACACACAACTTAAGTGAATATGTGTTGTTTTAAAAAGATTTATTTTTATTACAAAGTCAGATATACAGAGAGGAGGAAAGACAGAGAGGAAGATCTTTCGACCAGTGATTGACTCCCCAGGTGACCACAATGGCCAGTGCTATGCCGATCCGAAGCCGGGTACCAGGAACTGCTTTCCCAGTCTCCCACGCGGGTGCAGGGTCCCAAAGCCTTGGGCCGTCCCGGACTGCTTTCCCAGGCCGCAAGCAGGGAGCAGGATGGGAAGTGGAGCTGCCGGGATTAGAACCAAGGCCTATATGGGATCCCCGTGCATTCAAGGCGAGGACTTTAGCCACTAGACCACGCCGCCAGGCCGTGAATATGTGTTTTTAATTAAATAAACCTTCACATTTACCAAAGGTACCAAGGTGTGAACTCTCTGCAGTGACTCCCGGTAATACTGCTCCTGCTCCCAAGCCTCCTCTCCCCCGTCTTAGTACATTCTATCTCAGCCAGCTCTTCCTGTTCTCTGTACTATAGTGTTTCTACAGCTCCTCTTCCCTGGGAAACTTTCTCTTACTCTCTCACATGGGATGTGTCTGTCTGCCAGTCACAGCAGAAGATTTCATCAGCCTGCTGCCTTGCCAGCCATCTCAGCTATCCTAGAAACTTAACTGACAGGAACCATCTCATTCTTTTTCACCTCTTCATTTTCAGCATGCCACGGTCACCAGCATCTGGGGCTCTGGAAATGTTTTTGAAATCATAGTGAAAGTCAGACATGTCCTGAGGATTAGTTTGCTCTGGATGTTCCTCTCCGGTCATAGACTCTTCACCCTCTGAGACAAGAGTTCATTATTGTGTTTCAGGGAAATCATGAATTTCCAGAAGTTATATGACAATCTTGTTTCTCTGTGTGTTTGGTTGGGACTGCTTAGCTTTCACGGCAATCCCCAATACTACTAAAAGCAATGTACATAAGGAAATGTACATAAGGAAGTGCTGCTGCTCTGTACACAAGTTCCTTCCCACCAACAAGGAAACACATGCATGTCATAATCAGCCTGCCTCACTGACCCGTAGGCCTGCTCCATAACTTAGCTGCATGCAACTCAGAGATGAATAAATGTTTTTAATAAAAGGAATCAGCAATCACAAAGCTACAGGCTTGGAAACAATTATGGGCACAATATTGTAACTGCCCTCTGGGAAGAAATAAGGAAGTTCAAAGAAATCTTTTTCCTGTCCTCTATCCCCTATCAAGTCTGAAACTCTGTTCTCAGAAAAACCAAGCTTTCCCCCTTTCCTCAGAGAGCAATTTGTGAAAAGTAAAAGTCATACACAATGAATCTCTTTTTTGGTTTTTTTCTAGGACTGACCAAATGTATAAAATGGAATCGAATAAAATTAAAAGTAGTACTAGGCGAATTTCAGTATGCCTGATACTTCTCTGAAGTCACAATATGTGGACGCATCAAGAAATTCATGGGGAAATGTGATTAAATGATAGCCCTGCTTGGGTACAAACATTTTAAATTCACAATTTTTTTTCATTATATACACTTTTCAGTTTTGAAGACAATATAGTCACCTCAGATAACACTACTTCATTTTTGGTATTCATAGTGTTAATAAAGAAGATAATGATATAGACCAAAATTACTCAGGATGGAAGTGTTCAAATTGGAGTTCTGAGTTTCACAGTGACCAGAGAGAGTATGCTAGTGGATCTCAAGGATAAGATCACACATAATAAACATTTTGAAGTGCAAAGAAATTCACATCAGAAATATGGACAACTGTCTTTTACAAGTACAGGTGTTGATTATTCAATCACTAGCCATTAAAGAAAGTTCCAATTTCCCAGTCTGTGTTTAATCTTTCTTCCGGAATGAACTTAAAATCACAGTGTAAAAGTTTCACCGCCAAAGTCACTGTAACATTGTCTGACCAGATGCGTCCACAGCAAACTTTAGGAATATGGCTAATGATAAACTGAACAGAAACAGTTAGCAAAGACACTGAGACTAGACAAAGTTGCAAGAGCTAGCGCAACTAACCCAAGATCCCTCAAGCGCTGAGCTACCATAAACAGAACCATTATTGGAACTGTAGGTTTGGGAGTGTAGCCCTCAAACAAACAAAGGAAAGAGATTTATTCCATTTTATTGGATTTGTTTTTTTCTTGAAAGATAGATGAAGGTTTTGATTATTTCATGAAATGGGAGGATTTTTTATTTATGATCTCAGACTTAGCACAACATTTCGTACTAATCTTACCACTAGGTTGTTTCCACAGCCCTCCAAGGTGCTGAGATTGATGATGAAAATGACCACTGCGGGAAAGGTGTTGTTATTGATGAAGCCCCTGCAGTGGGAATCTCCATGCCTTCCATTCAGTGCCAGATCCGCTTCAGAGTAACCCGAGAAAAGTACCGTGCAAAAATTAATCTTCATTGTAATGGCCTGCACCCCACAGTAGACACTTATGTCTCGTTCAGCTAAAATAAAAACCAAAACAAGCCAATGTAAGTTACAAAGGCATAGTAGAGGGATATGAGCAATTTACACATCCCTTTAAATATTTAGTCATCTCCTTGGAAGAATCAACTCATTTCCAGATATGAATACACCATAATCAATGTGCAAATTTACTAAGAAAAAATAACACTTTAGTTGGTTATTTAGGGAGAACTCTTACAGTGTGGGAATTACACTTCATCATTGTTTCCTTGAGCCTATGCTCAGTAAGCGTGAGGTAGTATCAGTTTAGTACTGCCTAATGATTACAAAATTGAGGAGAAAATGCTAGATTACCGTGGAAAGTTAGAACTACAGTAACTAAATGTAGATCATCTGTCTAGAGGATGAAGCTCTCCACAAATGAAGTGTTTTTGTTAAATGTGGGGAAAGTAGTAAAAAAAAAAACCCTAAGCCAAAGAGCTTAACACATTTTATCCCAGATATTGTGATAACATCCATCCAAAAAATAGTTTATTTTGCATAGATTGCAATCACATTGAGGACAAAGGGAACATAAAATAAGACATTGATGTTAACAAAAAATGTATAGCATTCTCAATGACAACAAGAAGTTGATAATGATCTTGTCTCCAGTTTAAAGAATGAACGGGCCATGGAAAAGTAAAACACAACTTGCATGGAACTCTGTAAGGCTGTAACTTCAATGATGAGCTCTGCCCTAAATCTGCAAAAGTGAATTCGCATGCACTCTCACACTTTTCATATTGACACTTAGCTTTTTTACAAGGCGTGTACAGACTCTAGGTTGAAAATGGACTCATTCCATACTGATTGCAGGTTGCTTTTATTTGTTCTGGGAACTAATATGGATATGACTGTCTCCCTAAAAATATATACATTACGTCTTCACTGCCCATATCTAACATGTTATTTGGAAATCCTTGATTTGCTTTTAAACTTGTGGTCTTCAGAATGTTGACAAATTAAATTTAGTTGTTTTAAAACATTTATAAGACAATAAGGCTCTATTGTTTAAAATTACCTTTTTGCAGTGCTCTGTCATGGCAACCATAGAAAACTACAGTAACTTTAACACATTGTAACACATTTCTGTCTTTGGTAAAAACTTCAAAGTCCTAAAATTAGCTTTAAGGAAAATGCACATTTTTTATCGTATCTGAAAGGTAAATATTAAGCTAAGTTTTATAGGAAATCCCAAGCAATATTCCCCTTTTTAAGTGAAAAATAAAATGAATGAATTACAAAGTATGCTTTGCCAACATAAAAAAAAATAACATTTAAAATTGAGGGAATCTGTTTGTAGCTTTGAGCAACATTAACTGCTTAAATGCAAATATAACCATTTAATATATCTGCCCTAAAATAAATGAGTTCGTTTTCACAAATACCTTTGAGAACTTAAGAATTAACAAGCACGTCTTAAATCTATTGACTTTTTTCAATCTATGTGGCATTCCTTGGCCTATGGCATCAGTCTCCTCTGTGGAATACTGCATAAACCTCCTAATGATTCCTCTATGTCCATCGTCATCTCCTCCAACTAGTATGGCTGTTAATATATTAATCCAGTTATGTAATCCTCTTGCTCAAATTGACAACAGCTACTTATTTCACTCAGGACTCTCCATGATCCACTACCTTTTACCTCTGCATTTTCACCTCCTTCTCCTTCATCAACCTGAATCTATACTTGTTTGTTTGGTTTATTCCTATCACTCTATTGAGTTATTGCTGCAACAGTAGTGGCTACATCCTGGGGTGGACATGTCTAGAATATGGGCTGCAGGAAAACTTGCAGGGAGGTGACAGTGCTCTTTGTCTTCATCTCAATGGAAATGACAGGAGTGCTTGAGGATGTTAACACGGTTACACTCTTAAAGTTGGCACATCTTCTTGCATGTAAGTTGGTACATAATAGCATACTCTGAGCATTTAACTCATAATTCAGATTTATATACATGGCCTTCAATTTGTTCTCTTTTCTTTGCTTATAATGCTAATCCTACCACTACACTTCACCTGAGTAGCTACTACTCATTCTCCAGGTCTCTAATTTCATTCCTTCTGAAAGTCTTCCCTGATCTACATCTAACTCAGGCTACTCTCTATATGATGTCACATTGCCAAACAATGACATATGTATTTGTTTATTTGTCTTCTCAATAAGCCGGAAGTTCCAAAAGGCAACAAAACTACTTATTAAACAATGTGCTTAATTTCTGGCCACGGTGGACTACCCTGAGGAGTAAAGTAACAGAATGTCCACCTGAATGGCAAATAAAATTCTGACAGATTAGAGAGCTCTCTAAGAATTCATTTCATGTACAGTGAAATGGAAAACAAGTATCTTTGCATTACTTTATATCATAAATGTACAAAATGGCTACATACCAATACATAAGGTCACAAAAAGAGGTTCCATTCTTAACTTAAACCACCTGAATCTTTGGTTTCCTCAGCTCTGGGGAGATTGACTGTTGCTTAAAATACTTTCACAAATGACAGTGCCTAGATGGAGAGCTCTCTTCCGTGCTCTGTTTGTTTTGTCTTATTTTGTTTTGTTTTTTAACTGAAGTCTTATAACCCCTGCAATGGAACTGGATTTGCTACAAGCTGATCCCACCAGAAGATATGATCACAAACTAAAGGCTTTGTGTTGGGTAAGAAGAAGATCTGTTCAAATCCATCCTAACCCAGTTTTCTAAAGACTTTTCACTGTCTTTCAGAGAAACACATTTTTCCTATTTGTACACACTAAAGACATCTAGGCAGCACAACTTTGCCATTTGTAAGACTTCAAGGAGAAAAACAAATGAAATTCCAAGTCCTCAAAGAACAAAAGTATTTACTTTGTAACAAAAGTAGAAAATCAGTTTTTTCAGTTACTGAATAACATTTTGTTCTCAATATCTGAATTTTTTGTCTTTTACTATCCATTCCTATCCTGACATGTTTTTAGTAATATGTGAGGATTAAGCATGCAACAATCACAAACAGCAACCATAAAGAATAAAAATCTTCCAGTACAAAGCTAATATGCAATTATATTTCAATAGATTAACAAGCCAATCTTCCCACAGACTTAAAAAAAAAGATTGATTTATTTGTTTCAAGTCAAGAAGGGGGGTCTTCCATATACTGGTTCACTTAGTAGAAGACTGCAACAACCAGGATTAGCCAGGCTGCAGTCAAAAGCCAAGAACTTCTTCCAGATCTCCTAAGTGGGTGGCAGGGGCATAAACACGTGGGCCATCCTCCACTGCTTCCTATGGCTACTAGCAGAAAGATGGATCAAAAGTGGAGCACATGGGATAGGAACCAGGATCCATATTGGATGCTACCACCAATAGCGGTGGCTTTACTAGTTATGCCACATTGCTTGCTCCTATAGAATGTTTAAAGTGAAATATCCAGAGGGCAGCATTGCACTGTAATGGTTAAACCACTGATTGCAGCTCCGGGACCCCACATGTGCACTGACTGACTCCCTGCTGCTGTACTTCCAGACCAGCTCCCTACTGATTCATCTGGGAAAGCAATGGAGGATGGCACAGCTGTTTGGCCCCCTGCATCTAAGAAGCAGATCCGGAAAAAGCTCCTGGATGCTGAATTAGCCCTGACCATCCCTGGGAAGTGAACCAACAGATGAAAGACCCCTCTGTCTCCAGTAGTGAATCTGTGTAAAAATGACATTCCATAATCTCCTCTATCAAATAGGCAATAGATTGATCTGTCTCAAATTTTTTAAAATTACATAAGTTTTGTATATCCTGTTATAGTATCCTATAATCTTTTAAGATGTATAAAAAGTACACTGAGTTTTGGTTTATCAAATAGGATCAGTACATAAATGGAAGCTAACAGGGGAGGAATACAAGTCTTGATATGTAAGCAGGCATATCAAGTTATGTATCCCTAATAAAGTTCTATCCTAGACCAGTTTATTACATCTTTGCCTTCAGACAAACTTATTTGACACATATCATTCACATATCTAATAAGACTATCTGACTGTTCTTTTTTTCGTAGTCAACTTACTTAAACACAAGAAAATCCAAATGATTATAAGATTCCTAGCTTTGTTTGGTAGACTGAATAATTTTTGTCTCCTTTTGGTTAACTTGGAAGTCTACATTTTTCCCTAGTTTCAGGACAATTTATTTTTAACCTCTTATTATACTTACGTAGGCAATATGTAATTATAAAAACACACAGATCAATGCCATTATTCAATTAATTTTCAAATAAATATTATACAATACAAAGATGACAACACACTTCAATTCAGCAGTAGGCTGATCATGAGCATTGTATTATATTTGATGATAATGCTCCATTAGCATTGAACTGAAAAAGTAAAACTTTACATGAAAAGGAATTTTGCAGTTCAGTGAAAAATACAAGCAAAAGGTAGAGAGTATGAAACTTACACACACAGTGCCATTGGTTTCTTACTAGGCTAGAGACAATTGGCCCTATTTATTTCCAAACTCAAAGTACACACAGATTCATATCAACAAAGAATTCCACTAAAACCTTTCTTGAACGCATGTTTTCTGTCAGTCTTTATGATGAACTCTGAACATTAAAACATTAGCAAAAACTCCATTACTGAAAGGAGTCTGTGTTTGAACAGAGTATTCACAGGTAAAGTAGGTAATTATGATACAGCCTGATGACGATGATAGGAATTTGTAAACCACGTCATCAACCATCCTGTCTTGGTAATGGAAAGGTAGTTTAGAAAGATTTTCAGGAAGAAATGAATATTTCCAATTGGATTCATCTTAACCAAAATTGACTAGATGATAGTTTGAGGAGTTGTGGGGGTACCCTGGCACTAAACTGGCTAATTTTGGATCATCCCTTGAAACAAAGGGTTTATGGAGCAGTAAGACGGTGAGATCAGGTTTTGTGAGGCGAAAAAACACAAAATCAACCAGAAATGGGCAGCAAGTGGTAATGTTAAATCTATTGTTTGAGAGATTGAAAATAG